TTTGGAGGACCGAATACAGAGACCTGGTGCACTACGAGCCACAATGTCCCCAAACGACCCTCCGCAGGTTTTGAATTTAGTTGCTTTCTCCTAGACCAGGTGCGAAGATTCGCGGAGCAGGTTTTCGTTCTGATGAAATGAACATATCGGTGTTCACCAATATATAAATTATAAACGAAATGGATAATTAAAGTCTCCGTCATCTTATTATCTATCTATCTATCTATCTATATATATATATATATATATATATATATATATATCTTTAAACATATAACATATTTAAATATAACAAACAATGAATGTCTATTATGTCTGATCATTCTAATTTTCGTATGTTTGCTTTAATTTTGGGTGAAAATAAAGACAAAAATTGTCTAACATTTGGATATTTTTTATTAAGTTGCTCCTTGATCTATGCTTTCGGCTCACATGACGCCATGTCTAACGGCTATTGGGAACGAGGCCGCACAAAAATAATACGATTTTTATTTATTTTATTTTATTATTTAATTAATTTATTAAATTATTTTTATTTCTATTTTTGCTTTTTTATAATATTAATATATCATATGCACTTCAAGATACCATCTCCTGTGGTGAATGATAATTTATTTATTTAATGCGGGCTTACATTGTATAATAATACTTTCTAGGGTTTTGAGGTCTTCCTATTGGGTGCTGTAGAGTATTTGTGTGTTATCTACTAGTATTATCTCTTTTTGAGTAGGTACACATCTACTTATCATCTCTTAGTTGCGTCTCTGTCTTTGCAACTGAGGAAAATTATACTGAGAGGTGCCGGCCCTGGAGAACAGCTGCCCGAGGCCGCGCCTTTTCATTGCACTAGAGATAAGGATCGGTGCACGCACCGAGGTCAGCGCAACCGACGGTTGAGGGGGCTCGGAGAATTTTGGTTCCTTGCCCGGGTGCACGCGCTCGGGCTCCCCACATTAAACCGACCTTGTGTCACAACCTGACCTCGTGGGGGGTTGAGTAAATATCTACTAGTATTTGTCTTATGTTGATACTTGTTTTTTGGTCATTCGTGATATGCTGCTCGTTGTGTGCACGGATCGTACTGAGATTCGACAGGTGACAGGTCAATCTGCGAGAGAACGTTATGCATATGTGCCCAACGTAAATAATGTTGATTTTTGACTATTAATGTTGGAGATGCAAGGAGTATGAGAATTCATTGACAATATTAGTTTACATAGTGGGGATTTATTAGTCTCGATGTTGTTGATAATAATTAAGTTAGATGTTTTAAACTTTTTGTAGTAGATGGTAAATCTTAGGTGTTGGTTAGGATCATTGAGTGGTATGTATCGATGACTTATGTTTTAATTGTTTTTCCATCCTCTATAATTAGGATGCATTTTTTTTACGTTATAATAAGTTAATGGTGTTTGCGCCATTAGAAGGGCCTACAGTTAATTTTATGTGTTCGTCAAAATAATAAAATTAACCTGAAGGAACAAATAAAATTAACCGTCGGCCCTTTCTGTTATTTCTCCAAAGCCCTGTTCCACCATCCATTTAATCAAGCTCATTAAGTATGTCATACGTTGTTTTTCCTCTGTCCCTCATGCCTTTTATCTGCCCCGTGAGTATCAGATTTTCCAAGCCCTCTTTCCTCATTATGTGCCGCAGAAACCTCAACTATCTCTTGCTGATGTTAAGTATTAGTTTCCTTTTTGTTTCCATTTTCTCCAAAACTTCGTCGTTACTTACACGTTCGGACTATGGTATCCTCAGTATCCTTCGGTAGAATCACATTTCTGTTGCTTCGAATCTCCTCGTTTACTTTGAGGAGATCATCCAGCACTCACAGCCATATAGGAGGACAGATATCACGTAGCAGTTTAGTACTCTTTTCCTTGTTTCTAGTGAAGTTTTCCTATTTCTTAGTATTCTGCTTACCTATTGAAATGCTTCCTTCCCTATCCCAATACGTCTTTGGATTTCAGTGTCGCTCATTCCGTCCTCTGTTAAAACACTTCCCAGATATTTAACTTTGGCCTTATCCTTTAGCATTTCAGTTTTCTGGCAGTTGATGCTGTCTTCTCGCTTTCCTGTAGGTTTTGCAGCTTTCTTTCTGTGTCAACTATCAAAACTGTGTGATTTGAATACCTTATGTTGTTAGTTGGCCTAATTTTAAGAGGTGGGAACGAAGCTTGATTGTATACGTTCTGTAGGACAATGTCTCTAGTTTCTTTTACTGGGACATTAGTAAGTAAGCTTTCTACATCTAGGGAGGAATATATATATATATATATATATATATATATATATATATATATATATATAAGAGGGGGATTATAGAGTTGTTCCAACAAGAGAAAAATGTATATTTTAAAGAGAGAAGACGCCGTAAATGTGTTTGGTTGAACTGTGGAATTTTTATATGTTATATTTTATTTTCTATTTTATATATTTAGTATATATAGAAAAAAATATATTTTATATATTTAATATATATAGAAAATAAAATATATAGTACATAAAAACCCATATTACAACCTAAAATGTTTACGGTGTCTTCTCTCTTTAATACACACACACACACACACACACACACACACACACACATATATATATATATAATTGATAAAACAAAGCATGTTTGCGCTTGAAAATCGTTTAATTCGTAAATTACATACAGAGACGGCATAAATATAGAGTAAATGTAAATATATTCTTTTTTAAATTTTATTCTTATTGCAGTACACTTTATAAATAAAAATGCATATTATATGAAAAAAGGTGTATATATATATATATATAGCACGAATCAGAGTTTCACGCACGACGTAATCTTCAGATGTTGAATTGAGATTCTCAATTCAACACCTGAAGATGGAGTTGTGCATGAAACTCCAAGCCGTGCTTCCGGTAAGGAAAAATGTATTATATTTATTAATATATAATTTATAGCTCTGTTATATTAAATCGAGCACTATTTTATTAATAGCACTCAATTTGCGATATTAGATATCCATATATATATATATATATATATATATATATATATATATATAATAAAAGAGGAAAAACTATTCTTAGTCGATGCGTTTTGTACTCTGAGGGTGTTTATCAAGGCATTATATATATACATTTTTCTTCACCGGTAGCATGACTCAGTGGTTCACGCACAACGCAGTCTTCCGAGGGACTTTATCGATGCCTTTTGCCCTGATAAAATCACACAGAGGACAAAACGCCTCGGCTAAGAATAATTTTCCTCTTATCTTTTTATTAATTTTTTTCCTTTAAAAATACGCCCTATCTGAAAATAATTTACATACACAAAGATATATATATATATATATATATATATATATATATATATAACATGAATTAGTAACGTCTAACAAAACAGGTAAAAATACTAGAATTTAACGTGTCCAAAGGCGAGCAGACTTTTGTAAAGAAAGTGCTCAATACGAAATCTAGAGCAACAATAATCAACAGGTGAAGGATTTCAAAGGACTTATCGTTTCACGTATACACTACTCATTAGGACAGATAAAGGATTTATCTGAGCCTAACGAGCAGAACATACAAAAACGTAATGTCGGTCACAAGTCAAGTCCTTTCTTCATCCGTTGACACTCTTCCTCTTTCTATCTATGTGTGTGTGTGTGTGTGTGTGTGTGTGTGTGTGTGTGTGTGTGTGTGTGTGTGTGCATGTGCATGTGTGAGAGAAAATATGCAGAAAGAACAATATTAATACGGGAAATGACAAGAGGAAAACCATTTTTGCCGATGCGTTTATCATAGCAAATTTCTCAAGGAACGTAACGCGTCGGCATAAAAGGTTTTCCTCCGGCCATTTATTATATATATATATATATATATATATATATATATATATACAGAGAGAGAGAGAGAGAGTGTGAGAGAGAAAACTGAGTTTTCTGATAAATCTTTTTGCAGAAGTAAAGAAGAAAAGGTAAGTAAGTTATGGAATATCAGCGGGGCGACATTTCATGAATAAATATGCCAAATAAATAAAGCAAACCCAATACCATGTAAGCATAAGCATGGATGTGTCTCGGCAATCATGTTGGAAGTGGCAAATATTGCTGTCTTAACAAAAATATTATAAGATCTGACTAGATGCCATAGTGTAATAATTGCTTAATGATTCGCTATACACAGAATAAAAAGAAAGGATGCTAATCGAATTTCTGCAACTTTTTCTAGAAAAACATTAGTATTCGACGGTTTATTTGCATCTGAGAAGCAAAAAAAAAAAATGACTGTTATTTTCCTTCGGAAGGAGAAACGATAACAGATTTTTCAGTTATTCTGCTTGTATTTTGTGTGTACAACAGTTAGATAAATCAATTGGTCATTCATTCTTTTTATTATTTTTTTAATCAAAGGAAAGAATTGAAATTAATCAATCCATGATTAAAAAAACCACAGGAATTGTACACCTGAAGATGACTGTAGAATAGATCGGCCGAAATGTTGTGGCAGCATTAACAGCAGCCAAAAGAATCAATATTCCGAACTAGTTTTGAATGATAATGAAGCAGAAAATTGCAGACGGTATCTTAATGTAAATAGAAATTAAAATAATACACACACACACACACACGTGTGTGTGTGTGTATTATTTTTCGTGGATTTTTTAGGTGGATTTTTAGCGTATTTATTTTTAGAAACACGCCCAGTGACCGACAGTGACTCAATTCGCTTTTGCGAAATATATATCAGTAGGCAGGATTCGCTCCCAGCTTGAGGCAATCGGGTTTTTAGCTACACTGATGAGCTGTGATAGAGTGAAACAGTGTCTGCGGATGACGATATAGGTATATTTTGTTTATATTTCAAAGATAATTTATACACAAACACATACACACAGACGTATGTGTGTGTGTCTAAAATATATTTCTTTAAAATATAAACAAAATATATATGTATGTATTCTATTCATATATATATATATATATATATATATATATATATATATATATATATATATATTAGATAGATAGATAGATAGATAGATAGATAGATAGATATCCGAATGTAATGAGAAAGATATTAATATATAAATTCTAACATTCACAGTATTAAATCAAAAGAGGGCTCAATACCGATAGTAGAGCAATAATTATTTTTTATAATTTTTCATATAGACAAAAACAATTTACTCACGACAAAGAAGCAACTTCGCTTGAAAAAAGGGAGTGATGTTCCACATGCGACCTGCTTACAAACAAAATTGTTCATAACCATTTTGCTTTTCACCAGTAGAGGTGAAACTAAATGCACCGAAACGAAGTTACATCTTTGTCGTGAGTAAATTGTTTTTGTCTGTATGAAAAAATTATTATATATATATATATATATATATATATATACTTCTTATTTTATACTATGAAATACACACTTTCTATTTTAATGCTATAAACGTTATAATTGTTGGATAGACGTGTTTGAATAGACACTAGTTTTTTTTTTGGGGGTGGGGTGTTGATAATTTAACTACTCAAACACTCACCCACTAACGTTTATAGCAATAAGAAATAATGTCGGATTAAAAATTTATTAATTTCTTCCTATATATATATATATATATATATATATATATATATATATATATATAGTATCGAATTTTGCCTGTATGGGTAAGTCTGCTTTCTCTATTATCTGTTGAATGACCTTGTGTTAATTAAATACTTACCACGCACACATACGGTGATGGTCTCAGACACGTGTCGATTATTATAAACTATCTGCCAAAACTGATATGTGAATGAGTTATACTGACATTTTGAAATGTCTCTGAAAAGTGATATTTGTTAAATTTCGATTGGAGACAGTTTTCTATTTCATCGTCTACCGATTTCCCTGTCAAAGGAGACAACTTTATGAAAGCAGACGTTTTTAATCGAACTCTTTCATTTTTATTGCGTGTTAAATGTAAGGTGCCACCACAGAAAACGCGATACCTAAGGTCTAAAATTATTTTTTAAATGAAAATTTTTTATTGAAGCTTTTATTTTAGTTTTAATTTCAAGCGAGTATATTAAATTGAATATTTTCAATAAGCAAAATATTTTGTTGTCTTTCAAAACTAAATTAAATTCATTGGATTTTTTTTTATAAAATAGCTGATTAGCGCTCTATTTTAGTGGTCTTTCCTCGCAAGATAATTATCTTTATAAACAAAATCTTCCAAAAATAAAGTATACTTTTCTGAAACGTTATTTGAGAAATATTAACTGATTTAAAGTATAATTAATCTGATTTGAAACAAGTATTATTTACTTTAAATTTAAAATATCGCAAAAATGCATTTTTAATACAGCGGTAGCCGTTTATTTAAGCTGGTGACATGTTAGTCAGCTTGATCTAATATTGTCCTGTGGAGGCTTTAGACGTAAAAATAATTGAATATAACGTGAGCGCCTTTATACATAATTAAGTTCTTAGTAATCTTAAGTATTGAAAAAAAATTTATCCATAATCTAATGTTTTATTGAATTTTAGATACTTTCTGGCTTTATATTTACTATAGTCATCGCTCTTATTTTCTTATAATGCCGTGTATGGGCGCCTGTATCTAACAAAAATCGGCACGTTTATACGCATGCAAAAAATTTAAATTCTTTTAAAAATATTACATTTCGATGATTTGTACAAAGCTTTTCCATTTATGATTATTAGTAAATATAGCTTTTAGTTAATTATTATCAATTTAATTTTTTAGTTTAATTATTATTAAAAAGGGTGAAATTAATACAAGATTTTAAGATTTAAAAATTAATAATTTTTCTAATTAAATTTTAGAAAATGAAACCAATTATTGTAAAAATTCATTGTTCATCCAAAGAAATGTTCTTATGACAGTGGTGTTCTTAATATATATTATTTATAAAAGCAATTAAAAGCTTTTCAAATTAAATGTCATGATTTTATTGATTTTTTCGTGGTGGGTATATGAAACCGGCATAACACCAAACATTATCGGACGCCTGAAGAATGCATATTGTCATGTACAAGATGTTTAAAATAGTGACTGACTGGAAAAGGACACATTATTGGAAATATAATATTTGCTCTGTGATGCGATACTGAGTACTTTTTTCTCTTCAATGATGTTTTTACGCTCCACAGTGAGTTACTGATATATATATATATATATATATATATATTGAACAATAAGAAAATTAAAAATTAAAATCATTAGACACACTGGGTTGTAGATTAATATTCTTTCGTTTTTTTATTATTATTATTATTCCATTTAAATTCCTCGACTAGTTTCGACCGAAATGGCCATCATCGGGAGGCGAAATATTTCTGCTTGCTGTTAGCAAGGAACTACAGAAATGAATGTCTTTTGTTGGAGAAAATGAACTTTTGTCTGTAGTTTTCATTTGTTTTTTTATTTTTTGATCTTTTTCACATGAATCTTTTAACATTCCTTGTGTTGGTCAAACAGTCTCTTTTAAGTTGTTATTTGAGATAAGAACTGGATAAGATACATTTTATCCTGAATTCTCTGGTCAGTTTGACAGTTTTATTGGACCTGGTGAGGGGATGTGTCTCTGTTTAGTGTTTGTGTGTGTGTTATTTGGTTCTTAGGGAGTGAGTGAGTATGATATGTGTAAGCGTGTGTATTGCTGTAGGTGTGTGTTATCATTTGGCTCATTAGGGGAGTGAGTGAGTATGGTGTGTGTGTAATCGTGTGTATAATCGTGTGGGTGAGTGTATAAGTGTGAGGCCTCCATTCCTCCTTAAGCATGTCTGTCTTGTGTGGGTGAGAAATGTGGGTAGGTTTTGATTTGTTGATTGTTACCATTATATGTTGTTAAATTTGTGATTTAGCCCGGCTGGGTATTGTGTTTTTAGACGTTGTATCCACTTATTTTCATGGGACTCTAAAATATACTAATAGTAATACTCGTTTGGTAAAAAACCTCAGATAACTCAACTTGTGAAACAAATCGGTAGCCGAGGAAAAAATTGGAAATAAAAGAAAAGAACTAAAAACATCGGAACAGAGCAAAATAAATCGACCAGTGCCTTAAGTCTTTAAGAAAAAAAAAACAACGGATTAGTAAGACTAAAACATACAGTGCTCAATACAATAAAAACTATGTTAAATTAAGTTACAGTTGTACGCCAAATATGACTAAGTTAATTAATAAATAGACAAAGCACACCCCAAATCCCCTAAATGTAACTGTAGAAATAAGAACGCCTGTCCACTTAAGAGCAGGTGCAAACAGCAGTGTGTGGTTTATAAACTCGAAATACAAAGAAATAAACCGAATAAGATAGATAAGAACCCCAAATGTTACAAAAGATCCAACCAATGTAACTCCCAAAAACGTTACTACAATCATTTAAGTAGCTTCAATCACGAAACTTACAAAAATAGTACCAGCCTGTCCACATATGGAATATAATAATATTATAGTGGCCCCTTTTTAAAATGGAAAATATTAAAAATTTCATAAATATAAAGCAGGGGACCAAATTTTGTCCGTTATGTTTGAAGGAAAAACTAGAAATTGCCATCTACAATGAACCTAATAATTTACTAAATCAAAGATCTGAGATTCTAAGTAGGTGTAGGCATAGGAAATCAGGTTATTGGAATAGAAGCTTGGTTTTTTTTCTTCTTCTGTCACGTGGTTTTATGCTTATTAGTTTTAATGGTTTCTTCATTTCATTAGCCAGCTTACCCTGAAGATCGGTTTAGGTGAAACTAGGTAGGTTTTCTTCGCTCTTTAGGATTTATTTTAGTTATACACATACATACATATATATATATATATATATATATATATATATATATATATATATATATGTGTGTGTGTGTGTGTGTGTGTGTGATAAAGGACAAATAGGAAACGCTTAGCGGTGATATTTTGTCTTATGCTTGAGTGTAATCTTCAAGCCATGTCTGAAGATTGCGTTCAAGCACGAAACAAATTGTCGTAGCTCGGTTTTGATCTTATATATATATATATATATACAAATTTGCGAATGCATGATATTAAGAGAATTAGCGTGCGTTTGACTACTTTGTGTTTTTGTGCTTACGTGCTTTTGCATAAGCGAACATAAATTCTTGTCTGTGCGTCTTTCAGTATAAAAAAGGCTATGCGTCGACATCAGGTTAAAAATATCAGCATGTGAGCACGTGGTTGGTGTTTGAACGAGTGTTTCAATGAACACTCGCGTGACAACACCACACATATACGCATAGAACTTTGTTACAGCATTCAGGTATCGCATCCACCTCGGGAACACACGTGGTGTAGTGTTTCGTGGGCCTCTGACATCCCTTTCTGCGCTGCTTCGGCAATCAGTGAATGCGCTTCACTAAAAGAAAAAAAGTGTATATATATATATATAATCAGACAAGCAGAACAAGGAAGTAACAGGTGTGTAAGTCTACGACAGGTAATACATATATATATATATATATATATATATTAGAGAGAGAGAGAGAGAGAGAGAGAGAGAGAGACATGTTTTATTCAATAATATAGACAAATTTTGTTTACTTATTTTCAATTCGATCTTTTCATATTCACGGACAAGCTTTTTGGTGTCATTATTCAGAGATAAATAATCAACACTGAAAATCGCCGTGTTGAAAATAATGAACACTACAATATTTGTCTTGAAATAAATAATACCCTGATGATGACATTGTCCTAATGTCGAAAGTACTCGGAATAAAATAATATGTATCAACAGGGCGATTTTCTCTCTTCCTTTATTAATGACACCAAAAATCTTAATCGTGAATATGAAACGATATGGCAAGATATACGCAATTTTATCTATCTATCTATCTATCTACGTGTGTGTGTGTGTGTGTGTGTGCGTGTGTGTGTGTGTGTGTGTGTGTGCCGTCCTAGGTATGACGATAAACTACATGATCAGGAGGATTTGAGAAGCGTGAAACTACCTCTTCATTGCTATTGTTCCCAGATCCACCCTGCCTCGGCATGGTAGCACCTGTTAGGGTCTGAACTATGGCAATATAATTAACCCTTCAAACTGGGGCCAAAACACTATGGAAGCATAAAAATACATATTCAGTATAAAACTGCAATAAATTTGCATAGTAAAAAAGTTTTATTGGAAAAAACATTACCAGCCATACATTTTTGTAAATGCTCCCAAGAAAATGAAATTTCTGCATTAAATGACCCATAAAGTGTTGATATGCCGCTAAAGAAAAAAAAATGGGGGGGGGGGCTATTTAGACGACAATTTATCCATCGCACCCTTTTTAAAAAGGATTATATAAAGATTATAATTAATTTATACGATTATTAAATTAATTTATATAATATAAATTAATTTAATATATTAAATAATAATATTAATTTTAAATATTAATAAATAAAATTGCTCGCTCGTATTGCTCGCCCGTTTCCACTGAGTACCATGGGACAATAGTCTAGTGGATAAAAGCGTTGTTTCGTGGATTTGGTGACATGTTTGATGTAAGTTCAGTCCCCGGTTGGCGCAGTGTTCACTTGCACTCAATAGAAACGGGTGAGCAATAATTGAAGTGTATTAAATAAAAATAAGAACTCGACGATATCCTTAGACATGGACAGTGGAATAGGAACAGTCCCTGTAACTTGCTCATATCGATATACGCCTGAGGAAGGCCGCAGAGCACAACGAAACATGTGATAACAACAACAAAACTGAGAACAATAGTCCGAATATAAATAGTGTAAATAATGATAACCCCTCATCCCCAAAACTTCAGACAAAACATATTGATGGTGTTGAAATTTTATGTTTTTTTTTATCGTCAGTAAACAGACCAAGATGACAACTACGAATTGGAGATGTAAAAATTACAAAAATCTAAATATGTTGGAAATGTTTTGACAGAAGACGAAGAGCGTGACACGAAAATCTGAAGGCGTAAGTAAATAGTAAAAGACGCCTTCCAAAAACTCAGGAATGTCGTAAAAAACAGGTAAACGTCGTTGAAAACAGAAAAGAGTGTTGAGCTGCTATGCAGTATCAATCGTCTTAATTACCAGTGAATGCTGGACGAGTTCCATGTTGATATAGAGGCAACTTGAAGCAACAGAGATGTGGTTCCACAAAAAGATACTGAGAATATCATAGAATGAACATGTAAATAACGAGGAGACATTAAGGAAAGTGGGAGTGAAAAGGACACTTATACATAGAATTAGAAAGAGACAGTTGAAATTGCTAAGATACATAATAAGAAAAGACGGGTTAGAAAATTTGACATTCACAGGGTCTTCAAGATGGATAGTAGAAAATACGAGCTTTTGTAAATTAATGACAGAACAAATAATAATAATAATAATAATAATCTATATATAAAATTCTGAGACTTCCGTTAGTCCGTCAATCCGTCGCAACCGCTTAAATAGACATTTCTTGACCGATCAAAACTACATTTTGGGGAGAAGTGCAGCTAGGTAATGGGATACAAAGTACACTTAATTTTATTAGGGTGCATAGCTTAGTATAATAAATTTTCATTTATTTTGGGGGAAAAATTAAAAGTTTTATTATTTAATATATCGTGTTTGGAACAGGATGATTGGTATTAATCCCAAGAATAAAGTTTATTCCTAAACTTTACGAATATCATTTCGAATCCAGTTTCGAGCTCGCCCTGCGTTTGCGAAAACTATAAACAATTCACAAGGCCGAACACTTCCAAAAGTTGGTTCCAGAAAGAAATATTTACGCATGCATGTTGTATGCTCAAGTATGGTGGAGTAATGGATAGCGGAGAGCCGAGTTCGAATTCCAGTCGAATCCATTGCATTCACTTACGTGCTAATAACCTTGGGAAAAGTATGAATCCTCTTCTTCTCCTCTCCCCCCCCCAGCTATGGGTAAATAGCAGGACAGACCGGGTTCTAAAGTCTTGGATAGCAACTGGTCTACCGCAGAAAGAAATGGCAACCTACTGCGTAAAAAATCTTCCTCGTCAGTCATGTATCGAAAGATACATGGTCGCCTGTGTATCACGCATGGCACAAAACTAACTGAAGAGTAAAACATCCTAAATCCAAATGAGTTTATTCAAATTTCATTGATTGGTTTTCGAAAATGAACGAAAGTTAGAGTTTGTAAATTTCGACAAAAATGTTAACATTACTAAATACTGTGAGGATTTCAACAGGTGTCAGCGTGTTACAAAAAAAAAACATCTAGTAATAATAAAACGCGCATTTTTTATAAATGTTCAAAACGTTTCTTCATGGTTTCTTTTTTTTTTTTTCTCTTTGATTACGTAATACGTAAAGGAAACGAGAGACATTTTCTTTTCGAAAGAAGATTAAACCTTCTCCTGAAATGACCTTTGTTTATTCTCCTCGGCAGTGTCGATAAGATAGATAGTGTTCCACTTCTATTTTTTTATGAGGGCTTTTGTGATGATAAAGAAATCGGACGTAATGCGTCAATAGGCTATCTTCTCAGCTACAGATGATAGGCCAGAGACAAGAGGCGGGAAAGGGTATTATGGAAAGGAGGGGGATAAGGAAGAAGAACAGGTCAAGGATTTACAAGAGAAAGGCGATATGGGCGGTGAGAAAGAATAGAACAAAAATGAAGGGGGAATGGTCGTGGGTGCATAAAAACCGGAAAGATAAAGAGTGTGGATATCAAGGTTTAAACGGCATTAGTAGTTGTAAGTTCAAAATAAAAATTGATTTATCAAGGGTGAAGGCTCGAAAAGATTTCGTCATTATTACCTAAATTAATTATTTACGTTTTTTGCATCTTTTAAGGAATTCCCTGAAACATATTCCTTACATTCTGTCAGATCATCATTCAATAGCTGGGGAAAAACAACAACAACAAAAAAATGTGTGGGTGACGTAACGGTTATTGACGTGGAAAATGCAATCAGCAGAGTTCAACATCTGGCGAGTTCATTTCGCACTAATGCTCTTGGGAATGTCATAAATCCGTATCTTCTTCCCATCACCCGGCTATGGGTAAAATAATAAGGTGAAATCGACTTCTTAGCTTTGCTAGGGCAACCAAACTAGAAGGATAACTCTGAATTGAATATTTAAAACAGTGAAAAAGACAACGAAAAAAAAACTCTAGTATCTTTCCAAAGAACAATGACGGCAATCCACAATTTACCTATATTAAAGAAAAGGAAGTTGCGGAGAGTCATGATCTCCTAGATCCATTTACATGGCCTAAACAAGGCTATGAAAAAACTGTGGTGTAATCTGAAATTGAAATAATTATGTATTCCCTCCACCAAAGGTTCTTGTCCAAGTTAAGTTAAAAGCCAGTTATCCTTAGACGTGGACATCGAAACGAGAACAACCCACTTTAGATTAAATAAAGAGTTAAATTCTAAATGCCCTAAAGGTTACCTGGATCGAAAAGCACCTGAAGAACACCGAAGAACACAACGACCGAAAAATTGTGATAATCTCAGCAAATATAAGGGAATTATATGATAGTTGGTTACTCGCTCCCAAGACGAGGCGTCTTCAAGGGCGGCTAGCCAAACACCGTTGCAGACGTCTACTCATGCACATTTGTGTTTGTTCAACGTCAACTTAGCCAACCTGTGGTTTATACTGCAACTATGCTGAGCGGACCTTAGTTACAGTTTTCAGGAGAGAACACATAATCTGGCGTGATCAGTAGCGTGAACACGCCAACCCTCGGTCACGATGACTGGTGGCTTCGTTCTAGCACAACTATCGGCGGCTTTTGAACAATTCCATCTACCCAATTTCACTTACAAAGTTTCGGTCAAACGGTGGTAGGGGTTTTGATGGACTTTCCAATATTGCCGAATGCTTGTATCATCTCCGCAGGGCGATCATATCAACAAGTCACCTCGTCGACAAATCGACTCTGTTGGGATTCGAACCAAGTTCTCTTAGCCGGAAAGCGAACGTTCTAACCACGCGCACATATATGAGAAAATTAGCCGGAACGTAAATGATGTAAATACAAATAAGGATTTCGAATGCTGATTTCCAGGTAATCTCTTCCTGTTTGAATGACTTTGGAAACATTGTGTGCCTCTACTCATCTTCTTCTATTGTTGATTTGTTTGTAAATAATAACTCAAGTCTTAAATCGTCCGTTTTCTAAATAGGATTTTTTTCAATTTTTTGACATTTTAATCACTCGCCGCGTATTCGTCCATCCCAAATATCGATTGGACATCTCGACGTGGTGTAATGGTTAGCAAGCTTGTTCTTGCTAGAACATATTACGACTGAGTAGTGAGTTCGATCCTCAATGATTCCCCTTTCAGTCTTGTGTCAAATCTAAGCCACGCTTAGACAATCAGCATCCCAAATATTGATTATTCTAAGCAGCGTGGAAGAGTTTGATATTTATGTAAGAATTCTCCAAAAAAATGCAACTGGTACACGATTTTTTTTAAGAAAGAATAGTCAAATTCGAATCTGAGGGAAGACATCATTGATCTCCCGTCTTCTTTAATAAGTCATGCATTAATAAGTTATTATTTCTCCTCAATTTTTTGCCTTCAGTATGTCCTGTGAGAAGTTAGATTCTCGAAAACTTATTTCTCTATCATGCGTCCCAGAAATGTAAGCTATCTCTTTCGGATTATCAGCAGTAATTTGCGTATAGTTCATATTCTCCTTAAAACTTCATTTTAAAACCAGTAGTTGATTGAGTCTAAAAATATTGGTTGCCAGGAGACACTCGTCGCATATTCGTCCATGGGCACAGTAATGGTTAGCATTTTTTTTTTTTTTGGTAATTTACAAATAAGTTAGCTCGTCTGAAAATTAAAAAGTAAGTTAGGCTGGTTTGAAAACCAGTGGTTGATTGAGTCTAAAAATATTGGCTACCAGGGGACAAAGGGGCTCCACCCACAACTACAATGCTTTTATTTAATTTTCATAACGAATAAAAAATTGTTTTTTTAAATACATATGAAAAAAAATTTAAATTTTTATGGAAAAAATGTGTACTTTTTAGTCATTGCAATCTACAAGTACTATATGTATTAGTAGATATATATAGTAGATACTAAATGTAAATACAAAATGTCATAATTGATTTTATTTATTTATTTTTTAATTTTAAGTAATTGGCTGATATTTTAAAATACTTTACTGCACAATTTACATATTAACAGATAGTTCAAAAGCACAATAGAAAATTTTAGCAAGCAGTCTGGGCACCTCGAGGTAATGGCGTAATAGTTAGCAAGTTTGTCTCGCTATAACAATTACGACTGAGTAGTGAGTTCGTTCCTCACTGGGTGCTCCATACTTTCGGCCTTGTGCCACATCTAAGCTACGCTTGGAAAATAATTAAGTGTGTAAACCCCTCGTAACACATTATTTATCATCACTCAGTTGCATCTCTGTCTTTGGGCAGAGTGCACTGAGGAAAATTATACTGAGAGGTGCCAGCCCTGGGGAACAGCTGCCCAAATTCTCCTCAGATAGCGAATTTCGTAACCTTGTCTTTATGATCTTTGGCATTGAAAATGACCTCTCATATTGGGTCTTGAGTAACTGGTTGTGTGCGGATTACTTTATAAAGATCTTATTCCTTTTTATTATTATAACAGTCGTCTGTGTTTCTTCATTGAAATTTTATTTGATAAAGGGAGTTCATTCCATCAGGAGCCCATTTGCCCTCGGGCAAGCTTACACCCTGACCAGGCTGTCACTGTTTAAAGTGGTAATATTACATTACCACTTAATGAATGACGAATTCACTTCTAGCGGTTTGAAGATGAAGCTCCCATATTTACCAAATCGTAACCCAGACCTCTAGCGAGTTGCATAGATATTATATAGAAATGGATCAAATCTAGACGTTGCTGGAACAACATGAATGACGCAAAGAATGGTTTCTATTGTAGGAATTACTTTTCAGCTCTTTTCTTTACGTCCCCTTATGTCAGAAATGAAGGTCTTCTCAACATAATTGCAGTATAAACCACAGATTGGCTCTGTGACCGGAAAGGGGCGCGTAACAACTGGCCACCATAATAGACTCACTCGTCTTACAAGACTAACGGATGTCTACTTTTTAGAAACCGTGATCGCATTAATCGGCATCTGCAATCTTTTACTGCAGTCCAGCTGTATTATGACTTACGGCCGTATCACGTTGAAACACCGGTTCTTTTATGATCAGCGAAGCTAATCAACGTCGGGCCTGGTCAGTACTTAGATGGGTGACCGCTTGGGAATACCAGGTGCTATAAGCTTGGATGCGCAGGTGGTGTAATGAATAACGGCTCAGAATTAGTAATCGGAGAGCCGAGTTCCAATTCCAGTTGGGTTCATTATACACCCTTACCCTTGGTAAAAGCATGAATCTGCCTCTTCTCCTCCAGCTATAGGTTAATTAGTAGGATTTGTATCAGTAAAATTATTATTATCTCCCCCAAATTCTTACAATCTAAAAATATTTTTGTATTTAAACAACCTGCAAAGGTATGATAAACCGTAAAAGCAAATCAGTCAATCAAATCCATCACTTAGTTATTAAAGGCTGGCTACATGTTTCTAAGCCCATCCGTCTACTAAAGCGGCTAAACAAACGCTGTGGAAGAAGCTTGCTCGGGCAGCTTTATGGTTTTATCACCAGCTATAGAGCTTACCTGAGGTTTACACTGTAACTATATTGAGCTGGCCTTAGTTTCTAGGAGAGAGTGCATAATTAAGCGTGATCAGCAGTTTGAACAAGGCCAGTATACTCAAATCCTAGTACAACCATCGATGGGTTCTAATTAGTTTTGTCTAACCAATTTTAATCATATGTCATGATTTAATCCGTGGTATAGTTTTCAGACAGTTTCCAGGGCTGTCACTCACTGGTTTCACCCCCTCGGGCCGATAGCACCAAGAAGTCATCTCTTTGCCAAATCGATCATAGTGAAACCATTAACTACATGGTCAGAGATCGAACGTTCAAACCACTCTAGCATAATGTTTAGAATGTTAATAATTATTTAATAAGCATAGCTTAGCTTTGGCACAAGGTCAGAAAAATAAGGTTCCAGCGAGGATTGAACACATTACTTAGTAGCAATGATCAGCTTGGTCAGACTCGCTAACAATAAACACATGCCAGCGGGTCCACGCTGGGTCTTGAGTAAATTGAAACACATATATTCAGGATTTTTTTACGACTGAGTAGTTAGTTCGATCCTCACTGGGTGCTCTATATTTTCGTCCTTGTGCCACATCTAAGCTACGCTTAGAAAATGACCATATTCAGGATTTTGCAATTTTATTTTTGCCTCAGTGTATAAAGGCATGTTTAATAAATACTCGTAAAGTCTCTCCAGTGTTTAAAGCTTTTCTTTTTACTGATGACGTGAAGGCGTCCCCTTATCGAATTCTTTGATGAACTTTTCTTGAGTTTTTGCTGACTTGCACGCAGCAGGCGTCGTAAAATTTGAAAGGTCGCCAAACTAAAAACCAGAAGTTGAAGTCATTTGACATAATGAATGAGAATTCAAAGTAAATTCTCTATGCATAAAGTACATAGTCGAATGGCCTTCTAAAATAAACAGCTCACATAAATTTTCTTATAATACTAATTATGCGTACTGTCATATCTAAGAATGGAGGTGCGGGTAGGTAAATGCTATGAGCGCGAAAAGTGGAATCGGATAATCAATAAGCAAAGTTCAAATTCCGACTCTCTCTCTCTCTCTCTCTCTCTCTCTCTCTCTCTCTTAATAAGCCGCAGGTTTGTGCATGTTTTTTTTGTTGTTGTTTTTGTGGTGGAAGACGATTAAATTTTTTTTTTTTTTTTTTTTTTTACGAACTGTATTAATTTATTAGAACATTTTTTATACTTCATGCAACTGATTGAATGAAACGTTAAATAGAAAACGCTATGGGTACCGGCTAATTCCACCTCACCATTAAGAATTCGCAAGAAATTTCTCACCCAACCTAGTTATTAGAACCCTCACCTCTCCTGCTAACGATTTATTAGGCAAGAGAGAGTCGTCAGTTGCGATCACTTTCGCACTAATGCCCTTCGAAAAGGCATGAATCCGTCTCTTCTTCCCCAACAATGGGTTAAATAGCAGAATAGGCTGGGCTCACAAGACTTGGGGATTAACAGATTTAAAGAAAGAAAAACTTTCAATTTCAAACCGTGGAGAAGGCAACGGGAAAACACTTCACTATTTTCCCGAAGACGATATGGTAATTCGTAAATAATTCGCGAACTATGTGGAGAGCCATAATCACGTTCTATTCACTATATATATATATATATATATATATATATATATATATAATGAGATAAATTCAAGTGCGTGGGAAAATTAAACCATAATTAGTGTTGTATTTTAGCACCGGCTGCATTTGAGACAATTATACCTAGGCAGTTTCAATGTTTAATATTGCTAACTACCTCGCTTAACTTCCATCATTTCCTGCACTTACAACAGATTGGTAATCCAGGTTCAGCGGTTTACTGTATGAGAGATATAAAGGGTGGGGACCTGGATCAACGTTTTACTGTATGAGGAATATAACAGGATGGTGATCTATTTGTTCAACATTCTACTGCATGAAGGATTAGAACAGGGTGGTAATCCTGGTTCAATGATTTACTGTATGAGGGATGTAACAGGTTCGTGACCATAGGTTCAACGTTTTACTGCATGAACGGATATAACAGGGCGCTAACCCTGGTTAAAATGTTTTACTACATGAAGGGATAGAACAGAATGATAATCCAGATTCAACTTTTTACTGCACAAAGGGATATAACAGGTGAGTGAGCCTGATTTAACGTTGTATTGTATGAAGGGATATAGCAGGATAATAACCCTGGTTCAACGTGTTTGCTGTATGAGGGATATAAAGGTTTTGCTGCAGGAGGGATATAAGAGGTTGGTGTTCCTGATTTAACAATTTATTGCATGAGAATACTTAATGAAAATTTAAAGCAGGAAATAATTATGATTAAAATTCTGGGGAACTAATTAAGCGTCAAGGAGAAAAAGAAAAAGAAAAGAATGAATTATTATTAATAATTGAAGCCATAAAATGAGTTTAGATAATGCTCTATGAAGGTTTCAAAGACGGAGAGTGGACATCCGGGTGTGTTTAGAATTATGTCAAATTTTGCAGTTTTTGAACTAAAGCATGGATCCTCTTGAGGATGAAAATGGAATTGATAAATACATGATCTGAAAGTAGAAAATGCACACAATGAATCTCGTAACACAAACTCGCTGATATGTGTGTGGATCCCGAAGCTAAATCATTGTTTAAAAGTAAAAGCATCAGTGACTGTTGGAGTAATTATTTTTATTTATTTATTAATCATTTCACTCCAAGCAAGTAGACAGCGCCACTAGACCGCAGGGAATTACAGAGAGTGAAAATGAAAGAGAATGAGAAGACTAAGAATGGGGAGGATTGAAGAAATGATAAAAAAAAGAAACGGGGATTCAAGAAGAAAGATGATGGCGATTGACGTTGCATTTAAGTTTTTTGAAGATTGTAGTTATGAGGGAAGTAAGAAATCGGGAGTTCCACAGGTGGGAAGTGCGAGAAAAGAAGCTGTTAGAGTAAGAGTGGCGGTTGCATCTTTTGCTAGTTCAACAGTAAAATGATGACACCTAGTTGCCAATCTAGTAGCACGCTTAAATTTATGTAATCAAGTCACTAGGGAAAAATAGTCGTCAAAACAGTTGCCATGAAAATATTTGTAGAAAAGACAGAAGGAAGTCACATCACGTCGGAGAAAAAGTGACTGGAGTCGAGATGTCTGGTCAGGATCGATTACATTACAGACCCTTCTTTGGATTTGGTCAAGAATCTCTGGATGAATAGCAAGATCCCCGGACCAGATATGGCAACAGTATTCTATGCACGGACGAATGGTAGATTTATAAATATGCAAGATGGATTCTGACGAGAAAAAAATAATCGCACGACACAGTGAACCAACTTTCCATGCAGCAGACGAAGCAAATGATTCGATATAGTCACTCCACTTCATGTCAGTGGAAAACGTGAAGCCAAGAAGACGTAGAGTGCTATGTAGCAGTTTAGCCATTGTAGAGGGGGAAATAAGTCACTCCCACAAGAGCGGGTAAACGATGGCTTGTGGTGAATTAGCTTCTCCTGCCCATATATAACAGCAATACGCCATTTGGCGTCTAATCTGACTTTTGCAATGTTAAAACATAACAGGAGTTAAAGACTCCCGAGAAGGATATAGTGAGCCGACCAATATGGCTGCCAGGATTTTAGATAAATGATAAAGCTTGGTTTAATACATTAAAGTCAAATGATTAAATTTAGTATTTTGTTTAGTTCTCATTTTCAGCAAAACGTTGGGTGTCTTTATCCCCAACTCATCGCAATGGATGTTTAGATGCATAAAAGGTGTACCGAAATGTTTCCTATTTATTTCCCTCAAAACTATAACAGATAAAAGGAGCACAGTCACACCGTTGGATAGAGCATGTTTTTAATTACAAAAAGTACTTTTTAAATTTTTCACGGCACCGATAATGATGTCAGGAAATGGTTGCCCGTGGAGTCCAACTGTAGTCTAAGTGTGGCTTGCCACAGACGTCTTTTGTCGCTGTTGCCCGCATTCTAACTGTACTCACACCCACTCTTTGGTCTCTGTAAACGTTCAGCAAATGACGATGAACGTCGATATTTTTTCCAAATGTGGGAATTCAATGTACTTTCATGTCAGACACCATTTTACCACTCAGCTGATATATGTAACAAGACAAGAAATTATGGGTTACTGGTAGTAAAAGGCCTAATCTCTGGTGTAATACCAACAATATTCGGATCGTAGAGTGACTGTATGTGGTCTAGCATGACGCTGTTACATGACCCGCATGCTAGCCAAGGGCTTACGGTCATAGCACGTTTAAATACAGGTTCTCGTCCGATCAACGAAGTTAAATAACGTTGAACCTGGTCAATGCCGAGATGGGCGACCATTCGGGAATACCAGGTGCTGTAAGCTTGATGTGTGGGTGGTGTAATAGATAAAAGCTCGTAATGATAAATCGGACAGGCGAGTTCGAATCCCAGTCGGGTCCATTAGTTTCACTTACGCGTAAATACCATTTGGAAAGGTATGATTCCACCTCTTCTTCTCGCAGCTATGGGTTAAATAGTGAGACTTGTACCAGAAAAAACATTATTACCTCAAAAAATTCTTACAACTCCAAAATGTATTTCGGCTTTAAATAACTTCAAAAATGTTGTTAGCGCATAAAAAGACCAATGAATGAATGAATCAATCAAAGCGAGTTAGCAATGTTATTCTTTTAGCAATTCTACCCAATACAAGGCACAATAGCCCTTCAAGTTAGAGTTTTGCGAATCCAATCGTGTAAACTCTTGCCATTAATGTTACCCGAGAAATTCATTGTAAATAAATTATTTTACCACATTATATGTAGTAAAAAACATTTACAGTGGATTTCTATAAAAATGCGTTGAAAGTGTGGGAGAAAGGATTTGTTACTAGTCAGGAATTATAGCAATCCTCATTCAAAGAATAAGGAGACTATGTGTATAATAATTGTTTCCCATCATGAAATGCCATGGCTTGGAGTTTAGGATATGAACAAGCCTTTAAATCAATGTTTCTCAACCGGTGTCTCCAAGGTTCGGTAAGAGGTCTGTATGTATTCATTTTTTGAGTATTTTTTGTTTAATTTTATATTCGTAAATTTACTATACACTAGTGGTTCTCAACCGGGGTCCGTGTAACATTACTGGGGGTTTCACACAAAAATATAGTAAACTGGGGTTTCATGGTAATATTTTAGTGGTCCATAGAGCAATTTCAATTCGGAATGGTTCTTACGAATGAGAATTGGAATCTATACAGTAATTTACGACCATATTAAAATACTAAAAATAGAAAAACAACTCTAAAACTAAAACTAGCGGAAAACGAGGTAAAGCGATGCAAGTTACAATCCCTTTTACTTTGTCGGATGTTTTGGCTGTAAAAGTTGAATAAAAACTGAGAAGGAATATCATATAAAAATTATAATTAATATAAACTGATTTAATATATTAATAATATTATTAGATTTAAATATTAATAAAATATTAATATAAATTAATTAAATTCGATATTGTGAGAAAGGGTGATCTTCGACTATCATTGACATCGATATATATATATATATATAAAAATACTTATATATATATAAACTTGAATTCAGTATTCATTAATGTTTCAATGATTCATTGAATAAATCTTCACGTTTTTAAGTTCATTAATTACTCCCATATTTTAAAATGGTTTACTATGAGTTATTTTACTAGTGTACATAAATGTTCCACAGAATTTAAATACAAGTTTATTTCCATAAATTAGTTTTATTTAAAAATAAAGCGTATACATTTACTATTTCTATAATACAATTATCTATTAGTAAGAAATAAAATAAGCTTTTTTTCATCGAATGGTTATGGGGATCCACTAAAAAAAATTAAGAGTGAAGATAAAGAAAGGTTGAGAATCCTTGCTTTACACGTACAACATAGTGTTGAAAAACCTTTTGTTATTATAATAAAAGCTTCAGGCTATTATATTATTTAAAATTATAATAATCATGTGATATTCCTTATTTCTATCTATTTTTTGTGTTTTTACAGAATTTTCGTGAATGAAAACCTCGATGTGTGGCCTCATGAACGAGCAATACGGGATTTTCTTTTTTGCATTGCCAATAAAGTTAACAAAAAAGTGGGTAATTTTTATCCTTAAACCAGTTATCCGACACAAAAAGTATCTGTTTACATGAACTACAATAAAAATGGTTTATGATAATTTTAATGCGTGGGTTTCGTGGGCCATGAAAAATATTTCAAGGCTAACGCAAGGGCAAAAAAAGGTGATGTGCTTTAAAAGAAATTACCCAGTTTTTAGTGGCGTCTTGATGCCTTTCAAATGTCCAACAGCCAAGTTGAAGCTTGCGTGGGGGTGGCCCTGGTCACTGGCTTTCCTGAAATGGAAAATAAAAAAAATGAAATCTGAAAAATGTTTTGTAAATTAAAACAACATTTGTGCAATATCAATTAATAAACATGTGTCAAGATTCCCAGGGAAAAATACTATAAGAATTGAACTTTAAAAACACAAAAAGAATTTATCATCCCCCCCAAGCAAGACAATAAAGCGACTAAGACGCAAATGGTTACTGAGTGTGAGAGAATATGAGAAAAAGAAAAACATTATTAAGGAAATAGAGCAATAAAAGAACAGGAATTAAAAAACAGAAGATAACGATTGACATTGCATTTAAATTTTTGAAGATCGAAGTTGACTGGAAAGCAAGAATCCGGAAGAGATTTCCACAAGCGAGAAGTGCGAGAGAAGAAACCGTTAACTTAGAACTTACGGTTATATATATGCACTTCAACTTTAAAACGATGAGACCTTGCCGCCAATCTAGTACTGTGCATGAATTCGTAAAGTCCAGGTACCATAGAGGAAAGTTCATCAGAACAATTACCATGAAAATATTTATAGAAAAGGCACAGGGAAGCTACGTTATGGCGATGAGAAAGTGACTGAAGCTGAGATGCCAGGTCAGAACCAATTACATTGCAGATTTTTCTTTGTATTTTATCAAGAATCTATAAATACATAGCAGAAGCAACAGACCAGATGTGACAGCAATTTTCAATGTATTGACGAATGATAGACTTATAATGGACTTATTTTTCATTCAGTTATACTAGGTGTCCGTTAGTCCTTCGTCATTCCGGGAGAGAATGCATTCTACTAGGATGGCTAGCTAACCCCTGGGCTAGCACAAGCATAGATGTCTTGCAAACAATTTCGTCTACTCAATTTTACTCATAAGGCTTGGTTCAATTTAGTTTTCAGGCATTTTTAAACGGAGTCTCATGCTGGAATCTTCACCCTCCCCCAATGCCGATATTAACAAGATCTCTTTGAAAATCGACTGTTGAGATTCTGTGTTAAGGTTTGAATGCCAAAGTTGTAACTACTTGGCTATCGATAAGATTATTATTATTATTATTATTTGTGTCGCGTCTCTTCAGAACATAGGCTATCATGGCTCTCCACAACTTTCTATCACCTGTGACTCGTTTCAGTTCCGCTATCCATTCACACAAGTTCGATACCTTCCCCTATCTCTCTTGCCCCTCAGTATTCTCCGTAAGTTTTCCAAGCCCTAATTCCTCGTTATGTGTCCAAGGAATTTCTTCTGCCTTTTCCAGATTTTGAGTAGAAATGTTCTTTCTGTAGCTATTTTCTGTAAGACTTCCTTTTAGCTTACTCACTCTGTCCATAGAATTTTCAGTATCCTTCTGCAAAACCACATTTCTGTTTTATCAAGTTTTTTCCTCATCTATGGGGAAATCGTCCAACAATCACTTCCATAAGAGGATGGATATCACATAGCAATCCAGCACCCTTTTCTTTGTTTCTAATGATTTCGTTTTCCGTTTCTCATTACCTTGTTTAGCTTTTGGAATCCCGCTTTCGCTAGTCCAATACGTGTTCGGATCTCAGTGTCGCATTTTCCATTCACTGTATTTTTAACTATTTTTTAACTACTTTTTACTATTGTTAATAAATAATAAAGTGACCTTCTTTAAATTAATATATACCAATTGGAAAATATATGTAAATGTTTAAGTGAGAAACCCTAATAATATTAAGAAGAAAACAATATCAATTTCCTTTATGTTGACATTTTTATAGCATAGATAAACTCGTATTAATAGAATATTCTTATGTTGAATATAAAGTGAGGGATTGGTTTTTCATTGTTATTAAATAATAAACTGATCCCCCTTAAATTAATATATAGTAATTCAGGCATATCCAGAGAATACCTAAAGATTAAAATTAATTTTTAAAAATGAAAAACCTTTCCTTAAGCTTTTATTTTAGTTTTAATTTCAATTTGATTAAATTTAATATCTTCAATAAGCAAAATAATTTGCTCTATTTCAAAACTAATTTAATTTGACTGGAAGGAGTTTTAGTTTTGAAATCAGCAGCCTCGCTGATTTTAGTGCCATTTTTAGCCTTCTGTCATCGCAATGTAATTCTCTTTATTAAAAATCTTTCGAAAATAAAATATACTTTTTATGAAACTTTATTTGTGGAATATTAACTGATTTAAAGCTAAATTAAACTGATTTCAAACAAATATTACTTCCTTTAAAGATAAATATCTCAGAAATTCATTTTTTAACACAGCGATAGCCGTTTATTTTAGGTGTTGACATGTTGACAGCTTGGATGACAGACGGAAGTTATTTAATGTTTTTCTATGGTGTATATATCTGTAAAAATTACTTGCGGAATATAATGTGAGCGCATTTTATATATAATTTTTAAGTACTCAGTAATCTTAAAAAATTATGATAACGTTCTCCGTAATCTAATGTTTTATTGAATTTTACGTACCTTGGCTTTAAATTTACTATAGTTATCGCTCTTATTCTCTGATAGTCGGAGCGTTTATACACACATACAAAAAAAAATTCAGAATTCTTTTTCAAACATTGTCAGTCGATGAATTGTACTAAGTTTTTTTTTCCATTTATGATTAGTAAATATAGTTTTTTACTTCATAACAATATTACTTAACCACTACAAAATAACTTTATGAATTATTATAGTTAAAATTTTTTAAAAATGAAAACAATTCTTGTAAAAATCCATTATTCATGAAATAATTCTTAAGAAAATAATGTCCATAATATATATATATATATATATATATATATATATATATATATATATATATATATATCCATGTTATTCTCACTTCTCAGCATCTTTTTGTAAAACCACATTTCTGTGGCTTCAAGTCTCTTCTTCAGCTGTGAGGCGATTGTCCAGCATTCATTGCCACATAGGAAGATTGATATTACGTAACAGTTCGGCACAAAAAATATATGGAACAAAAAAATTTATTTTTCAAAAGCCAAATAATTTAGATCTATTTTTCCAAAAACCTTTGTTGTTAATGAGCCTCTCCGATCTGCTTGTGTGTCAGCCTTATTACATGCTGTTTGCACTTTTGTGCGAGGTTTTATTGATGATGTTTACATCCTTTGCATCCATTATAGCAAGCAAGCCCTATTCATAGCTGACCGACTGCTAACAAGGTTTCATTTTTAATCAGCTTTCTTTTCATCAGTTACTCCTACCAAAAATATTTACCCCATGGCGTTAAAACGATGTGATCTAATTTTAGTGTACAAATTCTTATTAGCCCCCATCCCCAATTTAAAGAAGCCCCTCCGTATTCAAAACACTCTTCTCGTTTGAGATTTGTGCTTTCTTTCTAAATCGACATTAACAAAAAGCCTCACATTTCACGAATTCTTTATTTAAAACGCTGGCCTTATGTCCTCCAGCCCAATGTTAAAACCATTGAGCTATCAACACTGAACATACGTTTTGTAATTTTACCGGCATTGCTAAATCCGGCAGTTGAACTGCTTGCCAAAGAAAATTGGTTCTCGTTGCAGATTAGAGAGATTCGGTGGGGGTAGCATCGTGGCTCCAGAAAAAGCTACCATTACAATTTAGCATCATGTTCATGAGCTTAATAATTTTAGATTTGTCTCAAAGACTAAACAGTTCTTAACGGTAGGAGATGACAAGTAGGTGTCGCTAAAATGGCAAAGAACCAAGCAACTGTTAAGTAAACCACAATATAAATGTTTCGTTTGTAGGGGTATGTTATCAATGGCAAACTTTTGCAGCATTTCTAAGCAAGCATTCGCAGTCACTGTTGGAGTTGTAAAGAAATATGGGCCAATTACACCCTGTGACTCCTGGTTATGGGGATAAAGGATCGCGTGAATAGCATAAATGTTAGAGACATGGAAGAACTCAAGAACAGAATAAAAGATGTAATATCAAACATTCCCCGTGAAATGTGTGTCAAGGCACTAAATTCTACTGTTGATCGTTGTTTTTTGTTTTTGTTTTTTTGTTTTTGTTTTTTTTTGTGCATCAATCGTGCTGGTGGACAGGTAGAGACTGTTCAATAAACGCTTAATAAATGATTCCTCTCATACTAGTGTTGCCCTTTGACTCACCCAGTATATATATATATATATATATATATATATATATATATATATATATATATATAAATGTATAAAAACCCTGTAAAGAAGCGTTATAAAGATGGTCTGAAAGAATCACTGAACCTTGCAATCATCAGTAGATCTGACAGAGAGTTCGATGCAAATTGTCGCGCCACCTGGTGGAAGAAATTTCATGATGGAAAAGTTCCTTTCAAGAGTTCTTGAATTGCAAAAGAAAATATGAAGAGAAGTTTCCGACAAGATCTTGCTGTGCACCTTCCAAACCATATCGGTGACAAATATGACCTATGCTTATGGTAGGCTTTGCTTGAGACAAAGCAAAAAAATTAAGTCATAATTGTTTTAATCATTTCACCCCAAGCAAGGCTACACAGCCACAAAGACGAAAGGGCTTACTGAGAGTAAAAAAAGAAAAACAGAGAAAACGTTATAGTGAGGGGGAAAAGGACAATAAAAGTACAGGATTCAAAAAGATAGAAGATGACGATTGATATTGCATTTAAATTTTTTGAATAATGTAGATGGTGTCTTCTTTATGTGCCGTGTCCCCTGGGACATAAACGATTATAGCTCTCCACAATTTCCCGTCCCTTGTAGCTCTTAATAAACTTTGCCTTTCTGACATTTCTTAAAGTCGGACGAGAAGTCCTTTGAAGTATTCAATATTGCTTCGCTATTTTTTCAATATTAAGCTATTTATTTTAAAAAGTCTGCTCGCCTATATTTGTACTTTACATTTACAAATGCCAAGTTTGAAACTGTGTCTATGGTGTTGTCCTTTTTCCCAATTCGTAAAGGTACGCAGTTATCATTGGCGTAAGTAGTTTCAAACTTGACACATGCAGATAACTTATTAAAAACTCGTGGATCGATTTGACACTTTATTTTATGA